GCCTTGAATCTTGCAGCTCTGGTTACCAAATGTTTGTTCTCACTTCAAATTCTGTTTGTCCTCGTCCCTTTGATGTCAGCACCCCCCCACCCCTGAACCCAGGCTAAGTGTTATGATTTGTGGTGTAAGAGTACCACCCCACCCACCCACCTTGGGGGCAAACTCTCGGTAGGGGGGGCGCGTGATTTCTTTCCTCCCACGCAGTTGGTTTTCATATCTTAACCTGTGATTCAGTCAGAATATAATGTGAGGGCTGAACGAGGAAATGAAAGCCTGAGGATTGAGTCAGTGTTTCTGGTAAAGCTGCTCTAAGATGGATCCCTAAAATAACAGAGTTAATCAAAGCATACAGAGAAATAAATATGAACCTTATCATATAAAATACTAAAACAGAATTATGCTTTAATTAAAGGTATAGAGGACGTTCTTTTATTTCTGGGTGGATCATCTCAATCAGTGGTCCTCCTAACTGTCAATCATTCTGGTGATGTGTTTACGTAAGGCCGTCCTACGTGCTCGTCCCGTTAGCTATCTTTTTCTGTGCACTTTCAGGCGTATATCTGTGGAGAGCTACGGTTTCAGACAGTCATTGAAGCTCTCCTTTCTCACCGCAGTTCTTTGAAAATGGCCGAGGGTCGTAGGAGAAAAAGTGTCTACGAAGTTTACGAGACGAAAAGAAAGGACGCAGAAGAGGCAGATATATCCCAGAATTGTGGCTCTTAATGTTGGTGTTTGGGAGAAACAGGAACACATTGGTGGAAAATGATGGAATTCTGACTTTTTTGCCCATATTAAAGTGAAATAATATTTTAAAATCTCTTAACTTATTTAGTATTTTTCTCAGTGGCCTTAATCCTCTTCTGTACGGGTCTTTTAAAAAATTCGCAAAAATCCTCCCCTATACCTTTAAAGAGTTTTTTTCTTTAAATAATGACTGATTGGGACATCGAAGTTACGGAGGAATCTGTCATTAAGCAAAGAGTTCAGGAGCTTAAATACTGAAGCAGGACTGGAAGAATAAAGGCCTTCATAAACTCCTGTGTCTGCAAACGTCTGCATGGACTCTAGACTCTGCATAGACAAGTAAGCGCGAAGCTAAGTTATCATGGTTACCATGGTTTCAAAAGGGTAAATGGGGCTTCTGTTGGTAGAGTGGTCTTTGCTTCTTCCCGGCTGACATTCATTTAAAGCAATTCTTTAAAGTCGTAGGGAAGCGGCTGTTCCAATCGTTGCAATTCCGAATTCTCCCGAGTGGTGCCCGACTTTACATGAGTGAATAAAGTGAATGTGATTGGTCGATTATCAAGGGGGCGGGATTGTTGTGGCTGAAGGTTCGCAAGCATGTTTCGGTGTGGCCGGTTTGTCGGAAGCATCTTGCTAACCAGTTAGCATCTTAGTGCTAGCAGGTTCCCAATGGGAAA